TACACAGACGCTCCTGAGTCAAGGCTATCGGCGGCTTGGCCGCCAGCGACCGCGCGGTAGTGGGAGAGCGGGCAGCGTCGTCTCAAAAATCGAGCCGAAATGTGCAACTAACGCCGAGCTCTGATATAGCTGGGTATAGCACAATAGAAAATTGTGACAGTGCTCTTATACCTCGGTAAAACAGATTTGTATAACACGAAAAATAAGTTTACATTTTCACATTCGAATTTCTCCGTATAAAAGCAACATCTTTAATATTTATTTTACATTCTTTATAATAAACCCTTACATCTTTTATAAATATGCGTTTTCATATGCATACATAATCCATATATTTGCGGCACACCCGCAAGAAAAATGACATAAGTTAAAAAAATAAAATCTTTCAGGAGAGAGAAAAGAAGAAATTGCATTAATAATAACGTTTCCTGTAAATAATATTATGAATTGGTTTTTATCTCAAATTCTGTCGCAAGTTATAAATCATCTGAAGCAAGTTTGATTTTACGGAAAACAATTTCACATGTCTATGTTGAGGTATACAATATTTAATATTTTCAAAATTAATTATTTACGGAAGTATTAAACATAGCGGATTCACGCGAAAGTATTTGAATTCAACTTCTATCACTTTTCCTGATTGAAGGTCGATATATTTAAAACACAATCCGCACATAAAACAAAATTCGAAAAATTTCGACTTGTGTCACTTTTCTTGCGAGTTACGATATGTATAACCTGTGTGACTTGTATAACATGGTTTTATATAACATATCCCCCATGTTATACGGTGGTCTACTGTACATATATATTATTCTATTTAGATAATATAATTTAATTTATACATGTGTATTTATATAATTATACATGATATATAACAAAAATTGATGATTTCTACGATTTTAATTGTTTGTTTTATCAGAGCATTAGCCCTAGTGCAGAGCATTAGCTCTGGTGCAGTGAGAACTAACTTAACTAAGCACACGAAAAAATTGTTTAATTTCTTCGAGAGAGTACGGTGTATTGAACCAGAAGATGTGGCGAATGCGCTCATTTATGTTCTTGGAACACGACCGGAAGTTCAGGTTTAAATTATTAATACATATTCTTTCAATAATATAAAAGTATAGGAAAACCATTGTGCACGTTGTTTAATTTCAGATTACGGAGCTTACCATCCAACCTACCTTGGAAGCAATATGAACATTTTCAGCAAGATGCTTATCTTATCGCATCAACAATTTTATGAAAAACTTACGTCAATAATGGAATAAGAAACTTGGGATTGTAAATTAAGTTTACGCATATGTTTTGGATTGCATGGAAATAAAATTTTTATATCTAATTTGCTAATATTATTTATATTCCTCTTAAGGGGAAAATCTCATTTTTCTGGTCAAAAAAATTGATTATTTTTTTAACGGAATTTTTTAGTTTAAGACAAGGCTCGGAATTATTTCATCTTTTCGGCCGATTCTCGTGGTATACACCAAGATCTATAGAGAGAAGGTTACCTCAGGCAAACCGATTATGGGCGAGGGACGATGAAGTAAGGGGGGAGCTAGAAACAGCTTGTAGGTGAGGGGCGACGAAGGAAGGGGAGAGCATGATTATCTCATCGTCGAACAGTAGCTATCTCTCTCGCACGCTTTAGTGTTTTCTCTCTCGCTCCTTTAATATAGAAATGCTTTGAGTTTTTATCGAAAAATACTTTTATTTTGTAAAATATTGATAGCACTGGAAATTGCGTAATAAAAATTGAAAAGTAAATTAGAAAGGCGCTATAAATTACATATATTGCAAATTATAGCGCTAGATATTTAACGTTTATAATGTTAAATATCGCTGCAACAGATGCATTTGTGATACAAATTGCTTTGTACTCGTATTTAGACTGTATCAATGAAAATAAAATATAATTTGGGGATATACACAAAAAACATCATTTGTAAAGTAGTAAAATAAAAGAAAAAATAGTATATATTTAAAAATTATTTTTAAAATAATATTTACTGTTTATATGCATTATTTACAAAAGAAATACTATAAAGAAATTTATTTTTTATATTTAATTGTGAAAACCTCAAAAATTGTCAAGAAATTGTAACTGAAATTCATAAATGTAAGTACAATTCTAGGATAATATAAAAAGCATCATACACAAATTTATTATGATACAAACTTAAATAATGAAATTGTAATATATGTTTCAATATTGCAAATGTAAATATATTTATATGATAAAATTTACAAAGTGTTAACAATTTTCAAATATTTGCTAATAAAATATTATTGAAATGTTTCTGTTGAAATCTTAAAATAATTCTTTAAAACAAATATGATGGGGTATATATTAGGGATCATTAAATATGCGGCAACATTGTGATTATAAAATTTTATAAGTATCTATAATAAAAATTAAATATAATAAATATAATAAGTATATAAGTATAATAATAAAATTTTTATAAGTATCTATAATAATAAAAATACACATATATGTTGTATTAATCTGTTAATATAAAAAAATTATTAATTAATTTAACGCAAATAAATTTCTTTGATACATACACAAATTTCGTTGATACATACACAAATGACTGAAGAAATTGAACAAGTAAAATATCAGTCGCGTTGTTTTACTATAAAATTTTAACTTTTAAATTTTCGAGAAAAGTCATTTGATTGAATAAATAATAAATAAATAATAAATCGTAAATAATAAATAACAGAATAATAAAGAAATAAATAAATAATAAATCATGAAATAATTGTAAGATGCTTCTTAGATAATTCTTATCGTTTTTTGTTTCTTAAATATATTTAAATACCTTTAGATTAAAGATTTCCTTACAAAGATTTAGATCGTCTTTTGTACCTCCGACATTAATTGTTAGTGCTAATTTCAACTTCTCATCAAATTTCACTGTTGACGCGATATGGAAGACAATCGAAACTTCTCGAATGAGAGTAGCCCGATCTTCCGAAGATATTCCGAGATTCGGGTAGTTACAATCTCCCGTTATAGCAATTATTTGATCCCGGAAGTTCGGTTGCTTGTCTTTAAGTCTTTCAAATACCTGCATAAAGTGAATAATGGTAAATCCACAAAAATTACACATTAACGAAATTAAAAGAAATTCATTATAAAAGATTAATAAAAGTCGACAACTTTTATCATTTATAATAAATCTTCGACTTTAATCTTTTTCTTTAACAAATGGTAGGAGTTTTGCTCTGCAGTTCTGGTGTGCCTCTTCAAAAACTGTAAGTGAGTGGTCCCTTTAAGTGTAAAACCATCAGACATAACATTTACATAAGTTCTTAAACAATTCCAAGAAATATGAAAATATGAAACTATTGAAGGACGGTAAGAATTTTTTTTGGTTATCTAACAGTTACTAGATTAGCTTTACATGAGTTTTTTTTAATTCAATTTTTCTACGTTTGATTTAAAAGAAATCTCGAGCTCTTAGAATACAAATTAATGACGCAACAATAAAAAAAGAACTTGAAGACTAATTAGCAAGGTGTGGTCACTGAGTAGCAATTATTTAAATTTTTTTCTGTTAATCAATCGAGCGAGTCGCTCGCTAATGATAATGGCAGCATCTACAGAAATAACTTAGATCATAAAATATTGAACAAAGTACAATTTGATTACGTAATTTCTTTGCAAATTTTACAGCACATTGCTTTAATTTTTATTTAATGACACAACACAATTAAGCTAAATTTGAAATTGTAAAATAATTGAATTCCATAAATTTGTTATTTGTCTAATGGCTAGTTCATCAATATTTATAAAACATTGGAGATGGTTATAAAGATGGAGCAAAACGTTTGAAAAATAAAAAGAAGCAAAATTTAACAATTGCTACTTTTTACATCTAGCTAGAGTCTTTAAGCTATTGTTTTTATTATTGTAATACTGAATATTTCTGTAGGTCTATAACATAACATTTTGTTTTAGAAATTAATAAATTCAAAATAAATTTTCACGGAAAAACGATAAATCTTTTCGATTAATCAAAGCTAAAAACGTTAAGACATATATTAAATTATTAATTAATGTCTATCAAGATAATGTTTAATATACGAGGGCAGTCTGAAAAGTTCGCGGAGCGACATTTGTAAGTCAATAGTAGAGTTTTAAATTTTAATTGGTTGTACAACTTCACTCTTCATATGAACCCATATGAAGTGCGAAATCTATCTATCAATTGATTCTTTACTTACAAGCCATTCAAAGTTGATGTGTCAGTGTATTTTTTAACATGGAAAATTTGTAACATCGTGCTGTAATAGAATTTTTTGTTAAGAAATGTTTAAAGGCAGGTTTTTCTTTATAATCCCGGCTTAGCCACTCGCGCCCTGATATTTTTTCTCTCTTCCTTTCTTTCTAATAATTCCTATCAGTACATACTGATCCTCCATATGTGAGAACAATGTACTAAAATTTTCATACACTTTAAGTATCTCAAACCAGAGATCGGTGTACAAAGTTAACTGTCTCACGTAGACTAATAAATTAATTTCTTTAAGAAAAATTAAAATTTTGCACTGACATCCCGCGACGGCTCTCAATGCCTTTCTAATATATTATTTCTTTATAGTGTTACCATCTATAAATAATATGTAACTGATAAAATATAAGCGTTTTACATAATTTATATTTTAGGAAATTTTACATAATCAAAAATAAAAATAAGACTTAATTATGCGTTGTATATTGTTAATTGATATCTCAGTACAATAACCATTAACATTTTGCATTTAACATTTTTTAAATATCTTTCATGAAGAATGAAGTTTTCAAATATCTTTTTCACGAAGATATTAAAATTTTTTTGATGGGTGCTTCTATCCTTATAACAGTTTTCTAGCCAAAACAAAAAGTAGCTTTTTGATTAGGTTTATATGTATTATATTTCTGGAAAGTTTCAGATTTTTTAGAAAATTTGAATCGCCAAATTTTTCTTGTATAGTTCTAAAGCGCTCTGCACTCAAACAGCTTTCCTAAAAAACCGGTATTGCCGGTGATAAAGATGCTTTGGCCATGATAGAACTTCTCAATCGGCGATAGTTTTTCATTGACCGTCGACAAATTCTCTATCAATAAGGATTCCATCAGCGAGAGTTCCATGCGTGATTTCGATTTGCATTCCAATTTGATAACAGCCATTTCGTGGTCGTCGATTTGATGTATAAACACTTGTATTATCTCTTCTCCAAGCTTCCATCTTAACAAATGAGCTTCGTTATTAAATCGATTCACCTTAGATTTAATTTGCAATGTGTTACGCGACGGCCTCCATTATGTATCGTAATTTACGTATCCATATTTATCGACTTTTTTACAATATTTTTCCATTGTCGATTAACTTTAACCAATGGTTCCAATTTATCGACAAAATTATCAAGATGAATGAAGGTTAAGCCCACACGTATTCCATAAATATTTAATTCATGCAGTCGCACGTTGAACGCTGTTAACGAACTGCAAGAAATAGGTAGCGGACTGTTGACATAATATCTATGATCATATAACTTTGTTTACATTTTTCAACAGATTAGTACGACATACACAAATTTCACTGTTCGTAATATCAGCTTATAACACCTAAAGTAGAGTATTAAATTTGTGAAACTTCAATTTGTTATATCTCCTAAACCAAAGCCGTTCCCCATTTATTTTTTACGGGGAATTACTCAGAATACCCCCCCTCCCCCGCTACAACATATCAAAAGGGCAACAAAATTGGTGAGGTGTGACCTAAAATGCATATTTATCCGAATTTTTACTATGGCATATTATAAAACATGTTAGGTCCCATATACGGTTTTATAGCTGGGTTAGCGTCAAGCCAGCGTCGTTCACCAATTCCCGACTGTCGGGCCAGTACTGGCTATAATGTTGCGCCGACGTCGGTATAATATTTAAATGATAAGATCGGCCCAACACTGCATGCCAATATTGTGCCAACATTGGTGATCGACATTGACCCAATGTTGCATGCTAATATTGTGCCAACATTGGTGATCGACATTGACCCAATGTTGCATGCCAGTATTGAGCTGACATTAGTCCAATATCGGCCCAATGTTGTACCAGTACTAAGTCAATATTGGTATAATATATTATATACATATATTGTAACATTTATAGTTATCTAATATTGCATACCCTACTGAAAAAAATCACGTGATAAAATCAAGTGATAAAATTACATAACAAAATCACGTAATTAATGACTAAGTAAATCACGTAATGAAATGTTCCAAATCAGTATATGATTTTTGAAAATTACATGGTTTGAAAAATCACGTAATGTTAGAAAATCATGTAATTTTATAGCAATCATATTTTAAAGAGCTGAATGATAAAAATAGAAAAACGAAAAAATATACAATTTTGATTTAGATATGTTTATTAATTTTGCATGTAGTAATGGAATTACATTATGTAGTCTCGATAAATGTAGCAATAAAATTACATTGTGATATCTTAATTATATGAAAACATTTTTTTTAATAAAACATTTTGCATATGAAA